CCTCCATCCCCCCCGACTTGGTTTGCCCTAGAAATTCAATCAGCAAAAACCCAGATCTATCTCTTTAGGTGGTCTCCCTCTCCGATCTCTTCGTAGCTTTCACATCCAACCTTTCCCAACACACACACAGTACTACTCCACCCCCACCCCACAACCCCAGTCTTCAAGGAGGCTTCTGGCCTCCTTTGCCCTTTCTCAATATTTTATTGACTCCTGTTACAACTCTAAAGTCAAACATACCTCTGAACCTGAAGTGTTATTCGCTGTGTTGTTAAGGGTGGTGCTGTAAAAGCTATGTCTGAAAGGCCCCCTCCCACTAATTCATCTCTCCAGTTTGTAACATCCCTCAGGCTACTCAGTATTAGGTCCGGTCCTAATACCCCCCACCCTTCTTATCTCCTACATGCCACTCCACCCCCTCCCATCTTTGAAGTGCCACCTTCAACTCACTGTTCATAGAAACGTCACTGTATCCCCTCCCTAAACCTAACATATTAATTTTCTTTCTTTAATCTGCTGTCTATAGCATCTTCTCCAGACATGCCCCTTCTACGTATGAGGGTCTCTGATCTGCACTGAAATCCCCTCTTTTCTTCATCTTAATCGTCCATTACTGCTGTAACGCACACACCCACCTAAGTGTTGTGTTAATCTGCAGAGCTTTGCTGAGCATCTTGGCCCCAGAGTCCTCCAGGAGGTTGCCGCTCAGGTCCACCTTCCGTAAGCAAGCGTTGGAGCCCAGGGCGTTGACCAGCACTGTGCCCCGCTGCCGAAGCCTCGAGTCAGCCAGCGAGAGGGACTGCAGGGCCTGGAGGATGCCAGGGGAGCAGGGAGTAACCAATACGGAAGCATATTTGAAAATCAGATTTTTTTTTTTTTTATAGAGGGCAATTATATGTGAGAAGCACCACCTATGTTTAAATGATAAAAGAAACATCCACCTAAAGCAAGAAGTTATTACTTCCAATTTCGTCCATACTCCATCTGTGGATTTATCAGGTTCATTAATTATTACAATTAATAATGAAAGAACATGGTTGAAGATCAGATCAGATTTCATTTCAAACCCTCATTCATTATTAATTGTTGTTTTGCTGTTTTACTTGTTAGGACTTTGAAATGCACGCTGAACTAATTTGATTGTTAACACTCCTTTAAATGATGTTGCTGATGTACAAATTGGACATATTTTCTGTTAAAAAAAGGTTTGAAAAGGGCTCTACTGAAGGTTTTTGCCTGTCTCTGCTTAAACGACTCTGTGAACACATTTTTGAATATTCCTTATGCACACAAAGATTTCCAGCCATGCACAGTCTCCTGTGGTTAACTCTCCTGGACCTGGATAGGATTGTAACAACCACCTACAATATTTTGAAGAATACTCATTCGTTTTCTAGGAAAGAGTTAGATGTGAAGCTCGATGCTTTTCTCATGTCTCTATGGTAAACATAAACCTGGAGCAAGCAGTTTTTTGGGGGGGGGGGTTAAAAAATAATTCAATACAGGAGAAAAGGCATTACATTTTTACAGCTTAAAACAAACAAGAATGAGGTTCCAGTTAGTTTTATACGTTTTTGTAGAATTTGTAATATTGCCTCTGCACACCAGCACAGTGGATTTTAGATCGGACAATCAAGATGAATATTTCCTTGCTTTGAGTTTGGTTTGCTTTTGCAGTGTGCTTTTGTGCCAGTATCGTACTTTTGCAGTACGAATCACTGTCCAATCAGTTTTGCAGCATTTGAGTTTTTTGAACAGAGAGTTTAGCCCTGTACATGTGAGAATTCACCTGTGACCCAGTTCCACTGTATGCCCATACCATAACACTGCCTCCACCATGTTTGACAGACAATATCGTATGCTACAAATCAAGTTTTTTTGGTCCTTCTTCATATTTTTCTCTTGCAATCTTTTAAGTTCAGGTTGATCTTAATTTCATCTATGCAAATACTTTTTTCCAGTAGTGTGCAGGCGCTCTTAGATGGTTTCTGGCAGAGTCTAGTGGGGTCTTCGTGCTCTTGAGCGTAACCAGTGGTTTGCACTTTTTGTAAACCCTCTGCATCTCCATTCTTGATGGCAGACCTTGACAGTGACACTCCTACCTCTGTGGGACTGTTCCTGACTTGATGTTGGGCAATTGTCCAGTTAGGTTTGAGCAAAAATGGAGGACTGTGTATAAAAATTGCTGCAGTTCCAAAACAGTTTATGCTACACTTTTGTTAAACCCCTTGAATTAAAGCTGAAAATCTGCACTTCAATCACATGTTGACCGATTCCTTTAAAATCCACACTCCTGGTGTACAAACTATGAAACAAACTGTTTCCTTATCCCTTCTGATAGCAGTCTTATGCATTCTGAATCATCTTCATTTCATTTAGTCTGTTGAGAGTTCTCTTTTTTCTCACGTTTGAGGCTAGAAGCCTTTTATGACTCATACTAGAGCGTTAACATGGTACTAACACTAATGCCAACAGTCTGCAGGGGACACTCACAGATTGTTTTGATGCTTGTGTTTTCAACACTTAATGTGTGAGCTGACTATGGCTGACCTCTGATAAAGTGCCTGTGTAATTCCTTTAAATGTGCACATTTACAACCGCCTGTGCCAGTGTTGGTGCGCTTTCATACAAACATCAGTCCATGTTCGCTTCTGGAGCATCGTTGTGAACTATCACCATCAACAGTGGTAAATAATTGAGTAAGCTACTTGTCATGCTGAATTTGCGCAGCAGAGAGAGCCTCGGGAGCCCCGCGTACAAACTGAGACCAAATGAATCATTCGTCTGGCTCGTAGACAGCGTGGCTCGTGTACATGTTTATACCTTGCGCGTGTGGCAGGTGGGAGATGGAGCTTAAGATTGCACGTATGACGATACAAGAATTAAACTGTGACAAGCGAGGGTTTGTGCGCGCAGTGACAAATCTCGGAGGTCCGCGTGGGCGTGCATCTGAGCATCACACCACAGAGAATTTGTGCACGCACAATATGTTACATAATCAAACTCACACACTCTTCTTCTTGCACCAAATGAACTAGTTTCTGCAGAATTTCATCCAGCACCCTGAGGAGGCAGAAACAAGAGGGAAAGCATTCATCATCTGCATCATCTCCACAAACCATCTGCACACAGCTGCTTCCCCCCCCCGCGCAGTCCATACCTGCCCTTGATGTTGAAGTTCTTTCCCAGCATCAGGTGTTTGAGGGAGGGATGCCGTGAGAACGCTGGGATGACAGCCAGCAAGTCAGCATCCAAACCTACACATACACACACACACAAACAGAAGCCAACACACATCATTGGAGTACGAGCACAACGCCAGCAGTGGTACGCTCAGTGGAGCTTATGTGAAAACTCATTCAAAGTAGACCTTTAATTACATCCTAGTACGTGCCAATAAAAAAGTAGAAACACGCCTGAAACTTCAAGTTATTCTGGACCATAAATAGGCAATCCATTAACTGGTATAAAAAACCGAACAAGTCGTATTTTATTACATAAAATTGAGTATTACTGGGCCGTTATACCAGTGACTCATGATTTCCTGAGCCAGGTGCTAACATTTCTGGCCCTCAAAGCTCCATTTTTCCCTCTCTCTCTCTCATAGTCCATTTTGGAACAAAATCTCACTGCCCACTGAAATTCCAAAATACTCCCAATTAAACCTCCTCCTTCTCACACCCACTCACCTTTTCAAAAGCTCAAGGATAGAGGATGCTGCTAAATGGAAGCGGTTACCATGGCAAGATATTTCAGAGTAAAATGCCTCATTCAGGGATCAAAAATATCTGCGGGTTAAATAAACTCCAGCGCTCACAGTGAAGTGCATTCATTTTACGAAAGCTTGCTGTGACACATTCGAGGAGGGTGGGTGACGGAAGCTGCTTGCAGCTAATGTTTCAGGTATTATTAGCGTCTCTGTTATAATACTATAACTAGATTACTGGCTGTTTGGGAAACGAGCTGGTCAGCGGTCAGCAGGGTAGGTGGTAAAAACAGTCCAATATATATTTTTAGTTCTAGTTTTTACCCATTACAACGTCACAGGATTCATTGGTTAAGTGTCAGATTTTTTACTGAAACTTCAAGGTGAAGAACAGCCCTGTAAAATTTGAAAATATATCAAACTAAATATGGACATGCATCATGAACAGAACTACACTTTGCAGTAGTTCTAGTCAACACAATCAATAGCAGATTTTTAGGCATCAAGTAGTTTATGGTATTTATTTAAAGACAATTTAATTGGACTGCATAAATAATGGTCTTTAAAAGAGATTTCGATAACTCCCACAAACAGGACTAAGATTAGGCAAGAATCAAAACATGCCTTTGTTGGTATGTTAACACAGTGATTCAAATTCACACATACATTTGCATCATCAGTGGTATGATGCAGCAGATCTTTGTTCACTATGCTCAGCTGGTAATCAGGTCTTGAATGTAAAGACAAAAATCTGGTGTCGCCATGAATGATTACATCATTGTTGAACTATGAAGAAATACATTAGTTCAGCCACTAAACTCACACAGATAAGGGGACTGGAATCAGCTTCTTTATTCATGCTTCAAAATCTCATTCTCATTTTATCAGTCATGCTAGTAGACTAGTAAATTCTAATCGCATTCATTGTGGGTGTGCACTGCCGTGTCTCTTTTATACATTTAACCTTTTCATATTTTCCCATAGTTTCATTTTTCTTTGTAAAAACAGCTACTTTGTTGCCAGAACACTTTTCCATCACTAGGATGGGTCAGAAGATGCCAACGCCAGCCTGTGAACATGCAGGGGTTTAGTTAGCGAGCCGATAACCAGCTCCGTATGACCACTTATTCTGATCGCCACAAGGAGGGTAAGTGAGTCCAGATAACAGTAAGACACCCTGGGTATGATGAACTCTCTTCATAGTGCAGGCCTCTGGTTGTTGTGTTTGTGGCATTTCAAGTACAAGTGCTGCCAACAGTGAAGCTGCAGATTCACCTCAAACTATCCGATGTCAACACTCACAGCTGAAGGGTGCTTCTCCCAGCTCTACTTACATTTTCATTTACTGGTTGTTATAAAATGCAGACAGATAGATCAGGAAATAACCAATATCAACCAACAGTACTGGCCCACCGATAAATCAGCCAGGCTCTAGGGACTGAGACTGGTTCACTAGTTTAGTTTAAAAGAAAGCCATTCAATTTAAAAGCTGATGGAGTCAAAACAATAATGGCGTAGTCTATACGATTTACAGCTACCCAACACACATACAACAACCCCTGTAAGTGCATCCCTTGTGGGTTCTTACCATTATCAGAGATATCTAAAGTCCCCACGCATGAAACTCGAGGAAACAGCTCCTGAATCACCCCGGCACCTGCTGACCTCAACTGTGGAAGGCAGACAGAGAGGAGCAGAGCATGATGGGATAGCCACAGGAGGTAATATATGAAGATGATGAGTGAATACACCCTGAGTACAGACCGACAGAGCGTACCTCACAGCTGCTGATGTCCAGGTGTAAATCAGTGATATGAGGGTTATTGGACAAACCGAGGAACAGCGCCCTGAAGGAAAACAGAGGTAGGATGGGATGGGAAAGAGAGCGAGAGAGAGGAAATACAGATTAATCGTGAAGCAGATATAGAAAAAGGGGTACGAAAATGATAGTTAGATAAGAGGAAATGTTGAGAAACAGAGGTCAATTGAGGCACAAGGATGAGCAAAAACCACATTGGAAAAGAAAAATAAATAAAAATCAGTTCCACTTAAATCCAATCGCCTTTCTCCCTCTAACAACCCCCCCTCCTGCCCCACATTCTCCTCTGCACACCTAAAAGTTTAAGAACCATCTTAAAGGATTTAGAGAAAAGTAGCTTAAATATAAGATTCATAGCTCACTAAGTTGGCAACAGAAATTACCTCAAAAACCTTCAAGTTTTATTCAGAAGTGGCCGATTGTAGCGACTGTACATTTACACAAGCCCAGCTGGATGCGGGGAAAAAAATACATTTGCACATCAAGGCTCCGCTGGAGGTTGTTCTTGTGCAATGAATACACATTTAAGAGTTATGCACCATGAGGAGGTAATGAGGAAAAGTGCTAAGTGGGGAGTCTGCTCCATCCATTTTGGCTGGGATCCATCACGCAGCGCGCAATCATCCCAATTGCTGGCATTTTGCTTTGTTTTCTCTGCTATTGATTGTGTTCAGCAGGCTATACGCCTAGCAGAGAAACTGTAATATTGCAAAACTCCATTTATCCCCGTTGGGAAACTCCTTTTTTTTTGTTGCTTGGCTGCTTTGTGAGCTGGTTTAGCTACAGATCTCCTGAAGCTGGTGGGCATAGAGTCCTCCACAAAGACACGTCAGCACAGTGGAAGCTGGCCAACACGGGGGCTTCAGTCTGTGTCAACTGATTGAAGGCCAGTCAACTAACGGAACAGTGAACTGGCTCCACTGTCAAGGAAAAGCATTTGAAGCCTAATGTGCACCTTGATGATTAACTCTCACTGGTGGTTTGGATGCAAACCACACTCCATATGGCATAAGCTATTTTTGTACTGAAACAATGATGACAGAAAAATGGCAACCTTGTTTGCTGGGCGGTTTTTGCTTTAATTTAGGACAGGTTAGGGTACTGTCCTCCTCCTATCAAGGCCTCTGCATGCATTAAAGTTAGAGTACAGGAATAGGAATGCAGAAATAATGCATTGGGGGGGGGGCGCTCCCATTTCTACGAGTCTCCTCTTGGATGGAAAACCGAAAAGCCTTCAGCGGTCTTCCTCCTTGAGTTCGGTTTATACAGTGTTTTGAAACTAAAGCAGCTTACAGCATCATGAGTAGATACATTTTTAGCTGGAGTGGCCCCAGTGGGAATTCATTCTTCAGCACTCGCAGTCAAAACTGCCAGTGACACCCTGAACAAGGTTAGGAGTTAAAAATAACAAGATGCGCGAGTTTGTCTTATAACCCACATATATCATCAACCTCCACTGAAGCTAAACAGAATATGAGTTCTGGCTGTACCCGCAAAGTTTCCATTCATCACTATTCTCCCGCAAAAGTAAAAAATGTACCTGATCGCACAGCTGCTCAGCAGGTAGTCTGAGGGGGAAATGCTGCGTCCAATATCATAAAGAAAGAAACGTGTCTCCCTCAAGTCCGCGTTTGCTCACTTAAGGCGTTTCATCCCGTAATTGGATTATTTTGCAGATTTCATTACTCCTACTGTGCATGAAATTTGTAGTAGAAATGCTGGGAGACATCATCCAAAAAATTATTAAAGTGAGGTTTTTTAAAGCAACAGATTCGCTTAATTCATAATTCCAAGCCTACTGTAATATTTCTATTTTCAAAAAGGACTTTAAACTTATCTTGTAGGAGTAAGTGGCTTCTCCAAATTTCAGTCATAAAGTATGTAGGAGGCACAGGAACACACTTTCTCCAGCGTCTCCTTAGCAGGTAATTTATAGCTTTTTTTCCTCTAATAATACTAGCATAATATTTCAGTAGCTGCTTGATGTCTATATTAGCGCATCCTGTTGGCATCTTGGCATTTATTACAGGATATTTTGCCAAGTCAGTATATGCATCACGTCTAGAGATTTCCCAAATGAAGTGGAAGAGAATCAGATGCCAGTTGGCTGTCACAAATGATGATATACAGGTCAAAGCTAAACATATAGTCAGCAGAATATTTATACTGTAGCCACATCAAGAAGACCCAGTGTATCAATACATAATTAGAATACAAAACTAACAGTAGTTAGGTCGGGACCACAAGAGTCTAAAGATGATTGATATTTCTATCTGCAGTAATTTATATTTGACAGTGTGGGGTCTTTTGTGGGATAGCAGCAGCAAACCTAGCACATTACAGAGCAGACACCAATGACAGCAAGTATGAGACTGATCAAGTTAGACACAGCATGAAAGGCAAAGCAGGAATGGTGGGTTGCCAAGCTGCTTGCACCTCCACAGCAACTGTGGGCAGGCTAGAGCATTTTGAGTAGCACAACCTATATGAGCTCTAACAGGATGGCAGCAGAGTTCGACTGACAGTCTTATGAGCTAAAGCAAAGCCCAACCCAATTTTGTTTAGAACTCCATTTAGGGTGTGCGCTAATTTCATAACAATACTCCTTTGTATGACTCCCTGAATGAAACTGTAATTAAACCTGAAGACTGATGACAAAAAAGTCAATTTCTTGTGACTGGTTTTGTCATAATGTCACATCATAAAGACAGATTCTAATTTGGCTTATCAGACATATGCACCCCTAATTATCATGGGTTGGTCCTGATGACAGCATACAATTACCAGTTTACTGCCAGACACTGAGCTTGAGCATATTCTTTGACCCTCTTTATATGTAGACTTAACATGCCAGTTAGTAATATATAGTGCTTTGGTACCTTTATGGCAACTGTGCCCAGCGCTGACTTTGATCTATGTGTCATAAGAGAAAAGAGACCTCTCTCTTCACAGGTCACTTCTTCTGTCAGAACTATGAGCATCTTCACAGAGCAGCTTTTGAAAGGTTGTTTTGATGCATTTTTCTGACTGACTTGTTTATTTGGCATTTTTCTCCTTTATCTATATCTGGATACAGGTTTGTGACTCTTGGGGATTATATCTTGTTTTTTCCACCATCAAATAAACTTTAGTCTTTTGTGTCATATGGAAATACAATGTAATGAGCCAAGGTCCAGTAACACATAACAATACATACAAAAGATCCTGAAGTACTGTGCAAAAGCAACAGGGTTTTTTTCCTCCCGCCGGATGTTGCTTGATTTTAAGTCATTTTCAATCCTCGCCATTTACAGAGGAATGGGTTTTATGTTTTGGGTTTTTTTTTTATTTCTTAAGCAACTTAACGCTGACGTATGAATCATGATCAGAAACTGTGTCAGTGGAAGGGTGGCTGTCAAGAAGCCAAGGAAAGGAAATGAGGAGAAAAGGCTGAGGTATCCCAAATTGCACAAGACCTGGACTGAAAATCACTGGCAACCAGTCTTATAAAGTCATTAACGCAAATATGGTTCAAATCCTTGTCAATATATGGAGGGGTTCAGGTGAAGGTTACAACAGTGGATGTGTACAGCCGTCTGTAAAACACAGTGGAGGCTCTGTCACAGTTTTGCACTGCATTTTGGCCAGTGGTGTCAGCGACCTTGTTAAAATTTACTGAATAACAAACACAAAAAAGTACCATTAGATTTTGATACACCATGCAGCAACATCTGGAACATGTCTGACTGGCGACAGCTTCAGTTTTCAGCATGACAATGATCCTAAACAGCCAATGCAGTAAAAACATACATGGATAGAAAAACACCATCAGTCTTGGATTGGCCTCCAAAGAGTCTGGACCTCAACATTATTGAAGCAGTGTGGGATCATCTTGACAGAGATGAGAACAAAAGGCAGCCAACATCCAAAGAAGAGTATTGAATGTCCTTCAAGAAGCCTGGAGACTGTTTAAAGCAACTGTGTTAAGGAATAAAGGTGGTTATACCAAATATTGACTTTTAGGCTTGTTAGAATTGTACAAACTGTTTTTGCCTTATATACTTATGTCCATGTACGCCTCCACATGTTTAAATTAAATTGTTGTACTTCTTTCCCATTTTCCTCATATACATAAATGATGGGTGGCTCAAGACTTTTGCACAGCACTTCCAATTTCCAGTTAGATTTTCCCTGAAAATCCATGCGTTTCACAGTGACTCACCTCATCGAATCAGGGGGGACCTTCATAGAGGCCAGGCTGACATGTGTGAGGCTGAATGCTGAGCTGAAGAACTGACGGAAAGTTGGCAGAGAATCTCTGGCTTTTCTGGAAAAAGGACAGTACAGAAAAAACAGGAAGATTTTAAAACAGAGGGGGAGAGGAGCACCAAGGAGAGCATTTAAGTTAAATCTTAATCAGGCAGACCGAAAAATAGGATGACACTGATCTATAACAAGAGCGAGGATGACAGGAGGACTTGATACGCTCATAAAGAGTGACAGAGAATTTGCAGTAGACAAGCAGAGCAATGACAGGGGGGGAACAAGGGAGGGAAGAGAGCCAGAAGAAGGCTGAAGCAAAAAAGATGCTCGCTGCGACATTTGGGTCAGTATTATATCAACCCGACAGCATGAAAAGGTGAAGTCGGCATTAATTACTGCCATCACTTAAAAGGTAACATGGACCTATTATCTAACCATCTGCCTGACATATACAGCACATTAGCCCGTCATCATAGGAAGCATAGAGAATAAGTCTCCATGTATGAACAACATTCCTCTGAGTCAGAGCAGGCACTGTACTCGGCATTCATGGAATGAATATAGTGTACTGTTTCCGATCTGTTTAGCACTTGTCAAAGCTGTCAATCTGCCGTTCCAGCCCCCGCGCTGTACACATAATTCACCACAGGGGAGGATGAGGAAGGGAGGCTAGAGGAGGAACGATAAAGTCATGAGTGGCGAGGAGGAGGAGGAGGAGGAGAGAGTGAGGGGAAGGATGAATTCATCTTGCAGAAAGATGAAGTTTGTTTTTCTTGGAAAGATTACCTGCTATTGCTTTTCAGGCGGCTGATATGTTGTTTACTTGTGCAGCACAAAACTCTTTTTTTTAGCTTCTACCTGATAAATGAGTATTGCTGTCACTGATGAGGCACTTTGAAAGCAAACTCATGAGAAGTAAAATTTACCTCATAGTTCACTAGTCAAAAAAAACCCCCTATATATAGAGAGATAGACAATCTTTTATACTTGACATGAAAAGCACAGCTGCGACTGATTTCATTAACAATTCTATGAAAGCAGCCACCAGGGATTTGAACTATATTCAGTCCCTCCCACCTGAAACCCAGTGTATTTTATGAAGCACATAGGCACAGGCATGCATGTTGCATTTTGAAATGCTGAGGGTGAAGAACATTTTTTTTAACCAAAATCAATGTCATACCCACTCCCAGTATCACAGTTTAAAACCAAAGTTTTATCTCAGCGTGATTTTTTTTTCTTTGACCAGCTTTGAACATCGATATGTCCTTGTCCACTAGAATAGGAGCAACAGATCCACAGTTAGAAGTGCTCAGCCGTCTCTACAGACTGTGTAGAAATGCCATGGAGACTATCCAACACATAGTAGCAGGATGTAAGATTCAAGCTGGAAACGCATACATTTGGAAGCACAACCTAGTGACTGTGATAGGCTACAGGAACATCTGCGCCACATATGGACTAGAAGTCCCCAAGTCCCGATGTGAAATCCCACCAAAGGTGGTTGAGAAGAACAGGGCTGAGGTCCTGTGGGAGTTCCAGTTCCAGACAGACAAGCAGCCAACCAACCAGACATAGAGGTGGTTGACACGGAAGATTAGAAAAAAGTTGTGACAGATGTGGCAATCCCAGCAGATAGCAACATCAGGAAGAAGAAGCATGAGAAAATAGAGTACTAGGAGTACAAGGAGCTAAAGAAACAACTGGAGCAGATTTGAAAAGTAAAATCCAAACAGGTCCCACTGGTAACAAGAGCAGTATGAACTATAACATCAGAGATCTCCATCCAGAAGAGCATAGTCCTAATTAGCAGAACCCCCAAACTCCAAGGACTCTGTTAGAGCACCCAAGCTTGAGAAGAACAGACAAACTACCACCCAGGGGTGATGGTGGAGTTATATATACCATATGTTCAGAGTCCCTGATCTATCCTGACTGCACAATTGATGATTCACCAAATTATTGTTGGTTTAATATGACAGCAAACTACAATAAAAGGCTTATTCCTTACTTTAACAGTTTAATCATACATATCATAATCATTTAAGGTTCGTCTTTTCCAATGATGCTTTAGCACCTTATTGTAATGGCTTCCTTAAGCTCGATCAACACTTTGACTCCGTTATCTGAATTAAGCCATTTCAGAAACACAGTCACACTTTCAAACAAGTCCTTCAAACTTCATCAACACTTTGTCAACCTTACTTTCCAACATCCAGAAACACACAAATTACTTTTAGTGTTTCCTCTTCCACTGACACTTCAGCTTGAAAATATGTCAGGCCTAGGCAGCTGCTACGTCAGTCTCAGAGAGCAGGGCGTTAAAAGATTCATGTTTAAAAAATTGTCTGGATAGCTGGGGAAGGAAGCGTTTTGTGGAAGTCCCCTCAAAGCATCTCCAACAGCAAGTGCAAACTTAGCCACGGTTATGAAAACTGCACAAACACGCCAGAACTAAAGAGAGACATCACCTGTCTTTAGAAATACACCCTGTAATGCTGCACCAGCACCCCAAAATAGCCTAAAAGGGAAAGCTGCTCTGTACTCTCCTCTCCTCTGATTGCTGAGACAATTTTGTCATGTGTTTGGCACAGCTGCTTCACAGATATGAGCGCAGTAATTTGACTGGCTGGGAATATAATGAATAATCACTACACCCTTCCAATTTCTGTTCCACTTCAACAAATTCCTGTGTGCATATTGCAGCGTGAGCCCGAGCCCTTATTGTCCTTGTGCACACGACCCAGTGCTTCACACTGACTGTTATGACTGTCTATTAGAATATAATTTAGCAACTTGCCACGCTGGCCTTGAGAAATTTGACCGGGACACTGCATCATTACATGCTTGGCACTGATCACCACCTGCACTCATGTATATATCATGTATATATCTATCCACTTAGCACTTTAATTCTTATTCTTATTTTATATTTTTATGACAGTATGTTGCACTGAAGCACCGCAGCAATTTCCTAATGTTGTAAACCTGCTCAACATCTGGCAATAAACCCTTTCTGATTCTGATTCTGATTCTGATTAACTTTTAACGGGCGCTCATTTTAAAAGTGGCGTACGCACACGGGCGGAAGTAAACGTGCTGAACTGTGGCGTCTGAATTCCCATTAGGCAAATGCATGGTTGACAGAGTACAGTAACCTGTTTTAGAACATTCGCCCCATGCAGACAAAACCAAGTTAACTTGGCTATAAGATTAAACTGCATGGCGAGAGAGGAAATGAGAAAGGGAAAATGTGAGATAAAGAGGGGGAAAAAGTGGGAGAAAATGAAGTTGTGAGGGATTAAAAAAAAGAGGAAAAGGTCACAAGGAAAAAGAAAAAAGAAAAAAGAAGATAAAGACATTGAGGAAGACAGTAGTGAGAGAAACCCCCCGGCAGCTGCACTACAATCACAAGTCGCTCCTTTTCAGATAACCTCCCAGTGTGTGTAACAGCAGCTCTCCTTTGACCCATTTGTAACGATTAGCATATAGCCCGTCAAAGCTGCACGGATACAGAATGGCTTCTGTCACATAAGCAGATACGGTGTCACTGTCTCTCTCATGAAACACTCTCCAGAGAGCTCTATCAGCAACTTGTAACCGTGCCTGCACGTCTGTGTGGCAGCATCTTCCTAGACTCCTCATTGTTAGTCAAAAGTGACCACATCTGTATGTGTGCAAAGGGTAAAGGAGTGGTCTGAGGCAGCCCGCTCCATATTCATGAGCAGCAGTCAGGTGGTCGGTTCTTATCAAGTCGGTTCAGTTTCGTGCCTTCATGTCGTTACGGCAACACAGCAGCCATCCGACCGGCAGCACCGAGCCAGCGTGCATTTAATACCACAAGAGCAGCAGGAGGACTGCAACTAGGAACTACAAACACAGGAAGAATGTGATGAGAAAGAGCAAAGGTAAAGATGATAAAATGTGTAGAAGGAGGTAGAGCGATAAGGATACAGGGAAGGAAGAGTGGGGCGTATAAGTTGAGAATGATGAGGAAGGAAAGGAGAGAGGTATAAATGAGGGAAGAAGAGTTATGAAAAAGGGAACAATAAAAAGCAGAAAGAAAAGACTGATGGAGAATAGATGCCATAAGTAAAAGGAAGGGGAGAAAGGAAGACAGGTGCAAAAAAAAAAAGATGGATAGAGAGATAGAGTAGATAAAAGTAGACACGGATAGGGGAAAAGAAGGAGGCATGGGAGCCTGGGGATTGGAACAATAATTCCCGTCTAAAATTAGTCTCATTTTTCACCAACTTCTTTCTCTGTAATTCTGTAATGTAATATGCTGAGCAGGGAAGCTCCCAGGCTCCTGTGGGACATGACATGATGAGAGCCGGAACGGCTTCTGCCTGCTAGTGAAGATAACAAACACACACAGGGTTCAACCGCACACAACACGCACGCCAACAACAACAACAACCCAAGCACTGTTGGGCATGCATACTAGTGCTTGACAGACAGAAAACCTGTTAGCAAACAGAGACATGTGTACATTAAAGGAAGCTGGAAACATTCGGCACACACAGATGCAGCGAGGCAGAATAAATGAGGGATGCGATGTGAGCTTGTATGCTAATTCTATCAGCGAGGTCCAGGGCTAAACGCTAATCTACGGGAAATAAATGATGATGCTCGCTCTCCTCTGTGCCTCCTGACTGGAAAATTTCCAGAGCTGTTTGGCTGAGTCATATTAAGCAAACTGATATATATATTTATATATTTATATTCAAATAAAAATAGCCTAAACTGGGATTTACACTTGAGGTGAATGCCCACCTGTGAGAGAAGGAGTTCTTGGAGAGATTCAGGTAGGAGAGGTCAGCGCAGCAGCCTCGCAGCAAGGCCCCAAACAACTGGCAGAGAAACAGAGAGATAAATGGGAGGTGTCATGTTCACTATGGTGAACACGATTGTGTTGTATAACAGTTATTTTGGCTCTTGAGTATTGAAAAAACAGTTATAGCACAAATTAAAGCTGACACAAAAGCAATGTGAAGACTCTTGAGTAAATATATAGTTTGAAGTATAAAGACAGCCTTGCTTGAAATTGAAAAATAGAATTTAGCAGAAGCTCTGCATGTTGTAAAAAAGGACAAGTACAACGAGATACGACAGGCGGTCAAATCAGGACAAAAAGCAGTCTCGTTTCGGGATTTATTTGATCCTTTCTGTGCCATATGGCTTGACTTTCCACAGAATAATGCAGTGTTTGTCATTAACTTTCTACAACTGCAAACAGGCGCATTTAGCATCTGCTGCATGTGATTTTCCAAGAAATATGACATCGTCAGAAATCAGTGCTGGGAATTCTCCTCTACAGGGTGAAAGCTAAACAAAGTGAAACTCTGAGGCTGAGAGGAGTACATGATAAAAGATGCTCACAGTCCTGCGTCATTCATTCATTCATTCCACTTAGCATTGGACAATACTTACTCTAAATCCCTGCATCTGAGTATAAAAGGTAGTTACTTGAGCTTTTGTACTTGTCTTTTCAATACATTTGAAATACATTACATAAATATTCTACATAAAACATGGTGAGCTTATAAAAAAATGGTTCAATTGTTAACAGTTCCACTGCATAGTCATTTTCCCCATATCAACATCTGGTTTCACTTAAAGTCAATTCTATATTTTTACTCCAGTGCACAAAACCTTTTACTAAACTTCTCATTCTGACTGTCAACAAGCACACTAATGTTTGGGCCTTGTGACCTTAAATAGAACAACCATATATTTTTCATGACAAATTCTGCATGATTCACAGTTTATCTAGTGCAACCCCTCACTGCATTTTGAGTCTAAAAACAAGGTGTTTTGTGATTCAATCTCTGTTTGCATCCACAGGACAAAAACAAAGAAAAGCATATAAACTGTAATCCTGTGACAGGCTTTTGTTTTCTTTCCTACTTTGGTAAATCTATTTTGTATTTTGCTCAAAACACTGAGTATTCACTAAGAGTAGTTTATTGGTATATAAACATCAGTCCAAATACCATTCACTGTGACGATGCCCATCTCCCTGAACCAGTGGACTAATTACTAAACTATATTAAAAGTTTTATAAAGGGTAAATTGCTACTTCCACACAGATGCAACACTATTAGTAATCTAATCACGTCAAATAATAGTCACCAAGGCCACTATCTGAAAGAATAAGTAAGATTTAGTTTTTTAAGAATTCCACTTGTGAAGGAGAGTTGTACTCTGTTAAATTTGGTATCTGTTGAATTCATCTCTTTGGAGTTTAAATGCTAAGTAACATTGTTCCTGTACTCAGAATTGAAACTATCCTTGTATAAACTAGGCCTATAGAAATAACGAGGTTTCTCAGTACGGCATTCAGCCAGGAAAAGAACTTTAGCTGAACTTTAGTTAAAACACTGAATTAATTTTATTGTCTGTGAAAGACTGACAGAGAACATTTTCTCTCTACCTTAAAGAAATGTTTGAATGAAGGTTTGAATCATTAATATTTGTTTCAGAATATTTGGAAGCTGCTGCACGTCACCACTTACTCAAATCTACACCCTAAATGAGCGACAATAATGTAGACTGAAAAATAAAAGTGATATTTTTATACAAAACGGAGTCTTGTTTGGCTACTTTACCCGTGTATATTTAAGGGTTAACGGCCCCGAGTTCCAGCAGTCAAATGAAAAACAGCCAGTAGTGTTTCTGCCAATCTTTGAAAGAGTGTACGGAAAGTGCTCATCTGTCAGAGAAGTCTACTAATTCCCGATAGCAGGACCAAATGGGCAATAAGAAGTGTAATTGTATTGTACTGAATCAAAGTCAAGCTGAGCCCATACCAGGAAAAACGAATTACTATTCTTCAATTTGTTGCACTGGATATCTATCAAATGTTTAATGCCTCAAAAAAAAAAAAAGAAGCTGTACAGGATTCGTGCAGGAAACCAAGTGTGCTGTGTCGCACGCAGTTCTCTGCCTATATGATCCATGCTGCATTATGCTGCACAGCGCCATGTATCATTCATCAGAGGCCATTATCAATCAAGCCATGCCTTGTGATGATATGGCTGACTTTCAAAATAAAGAGCTTTAGAGAGTACTAAAATGAATGTGCAGGGACCTGTGATCCGCCCAATGTTAAAATAAAGATGATAAATATGTGTTTGTTAGGCAGGAGGACGCAAATTTGATTGGCATTAAACCAAACCCAGATTCCCTGGAATACTTTAAGCAGCATCCCATCACTTGTGAGAGGTTAAACTATCGGACAAATCCATTTTTTCGCTGGCAGTGTGATCCATCACGCAAATTGATTAATCGACCGTTGTCTGTGTGTCAAGCGTAGATTAAAAACAGAAACGTATTAATAATTCAATCCAACAAGCTAACACTAAAAAAGACTAATTTTCCCCGAGATAGCTCCTCTCTAAAGGATAAATGACAATTAGCACAAAAAAAAGGACATTAAAGCAGGTCTCACAGAGAACTCTTTCTGTCACCCTCTGAAGGTGAGCAAGTTCAACTTGGAAATAAAGCAGAAGAGGAGCAATGACTTCCATCCATGCACATAATTCAATATAAAATTCATTGCCCACATTAACAGGACGGGTGGGCTAGTCCTCTGCGAAACAGATTCCTGGCTGACAAGCTCGCTGCTTTTAGGTGTTAAAATTGCTCAAGTGAAGAGCGGCGAGGGAGGAAAGTAAACGTATCACAGCGGCAAGAAAAGTCCAGAAACTGTTTGCCTTTTTCTTTTTTTCCCCATTTCCCCCCAAAAAACATGTAAGTTAAGTACAAATATAAGTACAAATATAAATATAAATACAAATATAAATAAGTACAAATCAAGAGGAAATTATATTTTTGAGAAACCCAAGGTTAGCCAGTGTCTGTGCTCTGATTTAGTTCCACACTAAAACTTGTTTAAACAATTGTAAAGAACTAACATAATTATTCTGTATTGTGATAAATATTTAGTGTTAAAAAGCTTTAGATAAAGAGAATTTATCTATATCTAGAATCTACATCTGTGATATTTCTTTCTCTTTCTTCTTTCAAAGGTTAAATATGTACTTCCTTTAAGTTGAGTTTTTAAATCAGAGGTAGATGTTCTCTAAAGTGTAGCTTTAGTTTTTCATTTGATTTCTTCTTCTTTCTTTTTTTAATTTAATTTATTGTGATACAAATGAACTGGAGAAAGAAAAAGTACAATTATTTTGCATTTCTTCAAGAAGCAGAAGTATTGCACAGAACGACCCATTATATTAATATATCTACACATTACATCATTTTTATAAAGTACAGTTTGGTCTGCCATTACTAGCAGACTTTCAAAGTATTTACATCCTGTTGTTTTCAGCACTAACTCTATACTTTCACCTTCCCACGAAAGCTTAAGAATGTATTTTTTTAATGTAAAACTGCAGCACCTGTCATGTGGTGTTCGTAAACAGTAACCATTGGTTATTCTTTTATTTGTCATTCTACTCAAAAAAATGTGTCTGTTTCTTTAAACAACACAAAGTAAGAAAGGTTCCTACACTAAGCTTGACTTACAGTATTACATCAAGTCTAAGGTGCAGCTGTACATTGTAACCTACACCTTAGAATTCATGCTACTGCACCAGCTGTGATGGATCTGCTTGGTAGCAAAACCATGTAAACGCAGTATATTATATATTATAATAGTTTAGGATATATTAGCACGAGATCAAATCAAATCAAATCAAATCAAAGATTAATGCCTCAGTGAAACAAAATGTCAAATGCCATAACTGTAACTAGCTGGCATGCAATGCTAATGCAAAAGCCAGTGCTTCGCTAACATAGACCTGTTTAGTTTCACTGAAGCTTTCAAAACGGCAGGAGTCTACACACAGCGTGCAAAACAGCATGTTGTTCAATATTTATCTACTCCAAGTCCAAAACAATCCGCTGGGTTTCACTCGTGATGGTTAGCAGTGCAGAAACACATTTAAATGTAGCTTTAAATGCAACTCCACCTGCCGTGGTAAAGCTCTACGGGATTCAGCCCAGATCAAATCAAGTTTTGAAAATATTTCAAAACATTTAAATCGAAAAAAATTTTAAATATATTTTTTTCACTGAACAGCAGGTTGATCATAATTTTTATATGAAAAACAATCTCCAAACTATGCTAAACTAAACTGAGTTTAAGATGAAGTAGTTTGGTAATAAGGATAAAATTCTGTTGCCTGTTATGGTGGATACAAGTATAAAGTAGCTGAAAGTTCTGGTGTACTGTATTTGTGGTAGTCAGTACAGAAAATGGAGCATTTACTGTAGATCTTGTCCTTCTGAACCGCTGAACAATGGCAGTGCTTAGATCTTAGATCTGTAGCCGACTCTGACCTTTAACCTCACTGCCGTGGTGGAAACGATAAAAAAAGAATATTTATGTCTGTTCTACCCAACCTTGCCTGTCCCTATGGCGTTCTGTGGCATCAGCAGCAACACAGCACTGACAAAGCAGCAATGACTGAGAATGAACCTTAGAATGTGACCTTTTCACAAACCCCTACATCTTCTAAGGAGACACAGACGTTAAAAACGTGAGTACAGTTGTAACTTTCAGCATTTTTAACCACACAGTATCGCATATTTGCAGCAAACCAACTGCCATCGCAGCAGTAATCTGCAGGGACAGACATGTTCAAGTGTGGCCAATGAACTCTCTCTCTGAGAGAAAGCTCCGTCATCCTTTCCACTGTTAGCATATCTGCTACCACAGCAAGATGCCATTTGTCACACTGGCTCACAGACATGCTAAATTTAGACATACTCACAACAACAAAGATGCGAACAAAAGCTTGCAACAAATGCTTCTGTGTGCTTTCCGTAAAAGACATAATTTGTATAAATCACAAAGGTTATACGTCTTCATTCTTGGCCCTTCTAAGAGCTCCCACTTTCACCTAAAGCATTATGCAGAGAGAATCTCTATGAGATATGGAATAAAGTGAGGTTTTGTGTGGTAGGCGTTTCATATTCAGACCGCTAGGCCTTTCGGTTTCTTGGCTTGAATCCCATTCTAGTGATGAGATCAGATAGTGATGGGTGGATATCGACTGTAACAAAGACAGCGAGTACAAACCGAGTCCACAGTGCAGTCTGTCCCAGACAGGTCCAAGTGGACCAGGCAGTTAGGCTGGGCCAGGAAGAGGTACAGGTTCTGCATGGGAAGAAGGAGAGAGACTTTAAGATAGTGTTAATATTTCTGAGTTAAGGATGTACACAAGTAAACATCTGCACAGTCAAGGGCAGTGGTCATTGGATTAATTGATACACTCTCACATGGGAATTAGTTAACATCATTAGAACCCAGTCAATCTAGGATTTTTAAGACCAAGACCAATGCTGATGTTTAGTGATTTAAGTCTGATATTCTGATATCCTTTTCTTTTTAGATTTTCATTTTTATCAACTGTTATAAATGCCAGTACAAACAGCTGCTGATATATTGATAAATCAGTCCTGTTCTGAACAGTATCCTGCATTTTGACACCGATCTCTCATCCCAATCGATCGCGGCAGATAGCCGACCCTCCCTGAGCCTGGCTCTGTCTGAGGTTTCTTCCTGTTAAAAGGGAGTTTTTCCTTTCCGCTGTCGCCAAAGTGCTTGCCTCATAGGGGGATATACGATTGTTGTTTTTTTCTCTGTATGTATTATTGTAGGAGCTACCTTACAATATAAAGCGCCTTGTGATTTGGCACTGTATAAATAAAGCTGAATTGAACTGATTGGATATAGAGAAAATGACTGATTTTCACTAGATCACAATGTCAAAATTAATCAGTAAAGTGATCTAAACTTGAGTATAAACCTATATTACATATTATATTATAGACATAAAATGTCTTAATTATATATAAGCATGTTTCACTTGTTTATGTCTATTAGTATAAATACTACTATTAATATTTGTAAAATCTGAGATTTGCATCTGCAATACCTGGAAAAACCCTCTAAGCAACTCAGCTAAACTGTGACCTAAACACACAAGTCAGGGTATGGATTTAAAAAAAAAAAGACTGACTAAGCAGCTACGGCAACAACGAAGGAGTGCTGAGCTTCAGAGGCTCAGCCTGAAAGCCTGAAGAGATTGTGGAGGCAGTAGCAACTTGCTAGGCGCTTCATCTTCCACAGTTTTATGGGGAAGTGGAAAAGAAAATGATCATTCTTTAAAAAGCGCAGGCATCTCAGCTACAGTTTGCCAGGAGGCACATGGGAGACTCTGAAGTAGGCTGGAAGAAGCCCCTGTGGTCTGATAAGAGACCATAAGGCCTTCAGAATCTGCAGCTGGGCTGAAAAATGTTTTTTCACTGCGCAAACTGACTGAACCTGGTCAACTCCGTCAAAGAAAGTCAGAATCAATATTTATGTACACATGTTGTTTTTTTTACATTTCCATCCTAAGGTGGCATAACAGCAGCACTAAAAAAATGATGATTTTCCAGTTTATCAGAATTAAGATATTGTAAACAGTGTAAGTACAGAGGCCTGAGAATTTTCCATGCAATGATACATTGACTCTTTCCTGATGGGCAAGTGTAAAAAATCTTTATTATAATATTACAAGATTCCTCCCTCCCCCTCCTCCACTCAAGATTTTTTACAGTAAGTGTGCATTAATATATTTGAATGGGAACACACAATGCAACAATTTTTGTGCCTTACTGTAGCGTCCTCTCCAGATAAGACCCCAGGGTTTTTGCTAAGGTCCAGATGCAGCAGAGAATTGGAATAGTCGTCAGCTGAGCACAGTGCCTGGGACAATGAAACCACACCTGGGGGGGGGGGTTGATAAAGGATTAAAAGAGAAGGGATACAGTAATTTAATTTAATCACTTATAATCTTTTTTTTTTTCAGGGGGCCAATTTAATGCTCTGGACATGACATATCAGCAACTCAGGAATAAAAAGGCTGAAGAGGTGAAGAAAAACAAAACAATCTGTGGCAAAAAAATAAAAACTAATTGAGCAGAGACTTGTCAGTGCATGGCAGGCTTGTACGAAAAGAGCTTTCAGATGAAGCCAGCCACCTTTTACCCACTATCCCAGTTTCCAAGTGCGCCCTGAAAGCCAAACAAAAGTATGTATAAATCAGATCACTACACAATTACAGCCACAGGCCTGATGGAAGCCCTCATTAAAATCCTCATTCTGCAGCACACAGCACCCCATGTCAGGTTACAGCTTAAATACAGACACAGCAACAGCACTGGTGAAACATCTATGAGAGCCAAACAAATGCAAAGCCTACAACTACCATTTCTCTGTGCTGTATTCAATCTAAAATATATCACTGATAACAACCAACAGGAAGTGTTTTTAGCACTAGAGAGGAGGGTGGAACAAGACAGCCATTGCATGTGCCTATCTGAAGCTGGCAAGGCAGTAAGCTGTTCATCCCTAATTTGTAGCGATTAGGAGGGAAATGAGGGGAAGAGGGGGCAGAGTGTCTAATCCACCCCACACTCTGCCTCAATCCATCTATCAGCTGCTTGATTCTGCTGCAAGCACAGACTTTTAGAGGCCAACTAGTCTGTGTGACATTGTCAAGTGTCTACAGAAGTAATGGTGTGAGAGTTCCTGGGATGCATCAGCTTATTTGCATGTCTGATTAACATCTGAGAGGTGACGTAAGCATGTGTTTATAGCATAAGTGTGCATACGGGCTTTGCTTGGCATAGGTGTTTTAGAGACAGAAGGAAGGAGGGGGAGCGAGAGAGATCTATAAATATTCAACAAAAAGTGCTCAGCCCCTGCAAAGTCAAACCCACCTACCAACACCCAACATTCAAGGTCAGCATGATCGTTTCATTCTCCCAAATCACTGTTTCAACCCAGTGGCTTTTAAAACGGCACCTAGTGTGGTCTTCCCATTCATAACATACAAAAGCAGTCAAGGTCACTGTCTGTAGCATGAAGTTTGCATTTAGCTATGCCGTTAAATTAGGGATCTCCTTGCCTATTCTGCATTGAAAATGAGCAGAGCAGTAAATGCACAAGCAGAAGATTTGAGAGGGGGGAGAACTTGCAAGCTAAAGAACAGAAAATATATTTATATGAGTATACATGTATTGTCAAGCAAGTACAGCGACTACATTAAACATATTAATCATTTAGCACATTTAAAAATAAGACTTACAGGCAAAACCAAGATAACAAGTCTCATTAATCGATCTCAAATGACTGTTACATTCCAAATATGCTAGGTAGCTAGTTAGCTTTAGCCAGAGTTTGGTTTCCTTGCTTTCCTGGCATTTCACTACTTGATAACAAATTGAATCTTGGATCAACAAAATAGATCTTTTTCATTGAAATGGGTTGGGTTAGTTTAATCCCTCAGGAAAGCTGTAGCTGTATCTCACCAGCTAGCTTTACCCCTGACGTCACATGAGCTTGTAAAGATTAGCCTGTTTGGCCATTAGCTTTTTTGTAGTACTTTTGGTTTTTATTAATTTAATTCATTTTTTTTAATTTTATTGTTGTTACAACATTGTGTGTTTTTCAAGTAGTATAATAATACTGTTCTCTGTAACGACAGAAATGTCCATTATATCAGCTAAATCAGATAATCATTACCCATAATGCCATTTAAGATCAGGAATTACTTGTAATTTGCAATAATCATCAAAGAATAAGCTATAAGCATATGGAATTACATCTGTATTAACATTATCCTTTTGAATCTGCTTTAATACTGTTTAATATATTGTTTGGGATAAAAGCAATAAAACTGGGACACTCTGCTAATACACAGGATTTCATGGAGAATACTTTTTTTATATAAATAATCGACCACTTTCAGTTTTGACCTGATTATTATTTGTTGGATTGATTCACGTGGGACATTTACTGGTCTGCATTTCTGTTTGAGCAATTGTCCGCTCAAATGCAACTGCATTTAGAGCAGCAGGCCACCATTGTGAACCTGGCTTACAGCTAGCTTTTACTGACAATTTCCAAGCTGTCTTTGAGCAAGACACAGTGTTTTGTACTGCTTTGTGTAATGTAATATGAACTCACAATGATAAAAATCTGTGTTTGTCACACAGTCAGCCACTAGGGGCTGCTGTGTCTAATCGCTGCACACTTACCCTTTGAGGAAAGTGAAGTCTTGGAGAGGTTGAGGAGACGCAGGCCCTTGTTAAGGCGACACACCTGTTGAATAAGGTTGGAAACTCCTGGTAGGAGGAGGGGTGGGGGAAGACAGAGAGGAAAGTCAAGTCATCACTTAAACATCAGAGAATATATATTGATCTATCTACACCAAAGACATTAAATGAGCAGTTCAGTGACAAATCACAAAAATGCCAACAGACTTGCTCATTAACAGTGAATTATGAAATGGTTAATCAACTTGTAGATACTATGTTGGGCTCTGGAAAATGGTGATGGAGAACTGATACATATTTTTTGCAGGTTAAATGAGAAAATACAAAGCAATTGATCTGAAATGTTAGCCTATATTAAATAACATTTTGGTCATTCCATGTCAGTTCACCAAATGTCTCACATGTGACCGGTTTAGATTGGATATGATAGTGGAGCAGTGAAGGGCTGCAAGTGGGATTCAAACTGGGCTGCTGCACACTGGCCATGTGGCATGTGATCACCTGCACACTGACCACCCGGGAATAAATATTTCAGGGAATGAAGGTAGGGGTGTTTTCACATATCTTTTAGTATAACTTGTTTAGAGGCCATATTAGAAGGAAATTACATAGAAAACTACTTGAGATGGGTTATTGTTATGGTAAATATCTGGTACTATGACTCTGTAACTATGGACTCTGAGAAGAATGAATCCTTGAAGTCACTCAAATATCTGAATGTCCAGTCTCTGACAGCAGATTTGCAGGCCTAAATCTACAATTTGCAAAATATGCATTATTTAATTTAGACCCTTTAACTTAAAACCAGCAAAATTGAGAAATATTACAAGTTATTAACAATGCTGGCTGCTTTAGATGAATATTAGTATTTCAAATATTCATATTGGGAAAATGAGAGAACACCATCACAAATTTTGGGTATATTAACAGGAAATTGCTCTTAAAAATGAGAGAAAGAAAGGTACGTACCTGGAGATTAGCACTAAAGTTGAGGGGTTTGTTTTTTTTTGCATATTTAAGCTTCCAAATCAGCTAAACCATTCATCATCATATTTTCCATTTGCATGAGAAGATGTAAATAAAATATCAGTCGCATGTCTGCAAAACTCCTGCTTCTACTGCAAATCGCAAATGTTTCCAACAATGTTTGAACTCAGAGAAAGTGACACATCAAGATGGTCATGTGGACCGGGAACATTCTTACTCATTTCAGCACCACTGCATTCTGCTCAGGTCAGACTTTCCATAATGCTCACACAGTCCTATTTTACAAAAAGTACATCACATTGGTAAAGATTTCACTGTCGCTGGCATCGATTTCAAAAGGAGCACATTCTTCACATTCTTCTCCACAGTTTCAATCTCAGTGTTGGTATTTCATGCTTTCTTTGAATCATTTTTTCAGTAGGGGCATAAATCTTAAAAGGCTTGCTTACAGTACATCCCTGCATCTATATGCCCTCACAGAGCTTATATATAGTTTGGCCATGTAACATTAGACTCCCTTATGTATGTACTCTCCAAACCATGTCCTTGTAATTCTAAAAATAAATAATAAATAAAAACCCAACTGACATAATTTACAGCCTTAATTTTTAAACATATTGCAGTGACTAATCCACATGAGCACCTTGTACAAAAAGGAGCTTACGGTATATAACAAAAGAGTTTCAGCTCAGCAGTTTCATTAAATATACTGCAGCCATGGAGATAATATGAAAGGCTTTGCTTTTATTAAAAATGGAATTCATTGAAATGCCAAAAGTTGTCTCCTAGTTCGTGTCTCCCTCGCATCCTTTTTTTTTTGTTTGTTTATTTGTATTTAGAGAAGTTTTAGGCAACCGCACACACAGACTGAAGGTCATCCTTTGCTGTATTGTGATAAGGTTGCAGTCATTTTACAGCTCCAATCACAATAAAGTAAGTATGTGGGCCCCCCCCCCCGGACACTTGTCACTTGTGAGGTGAGTAGAAGTGACAAGTGTCAGACGTGAGGACAGAAATGAGCTAATAAGTGGCGTTTGCATGCATGTAAGGTCTGACTCTGCACACACACTTCAGGCTGCCTGAATTGTATGGCGTTATTTTTGTGCCACTATTCTGTGCGCACATAAAAAAAATTGCAGGTGCAAGTGTTGCAATTTGAGGAGAACTTTATTGCAAAGAAATTTGGCTTTTCTTTGCTCAAATGAACAAAATTCATTGCTGCGTGCAAATGAATTTTGCGTGCAAAAAATGTATTTCAGTGTTTGCCATTATCCACACACACACACACACACACACACACAATAGCAGCCCCTCTCGCTCAGTTTTTGCACTTGCACTCGCCCGCAATGTGTTGCTTGCGCTCTCAACATTTCTGCCTGTGCGTGCTCAACTCTTTCTGTACATCGTTATATTTGTGCCACAAAACCAGCACAATCACAGACTTTGATGCAAAAAAATCTGATTGGCTGTTTTGGTCTTCAATCAGCTCGAAATGACGAAATGCAATATCCCAGAATCCATTTCGTCCAAAACTCAAACGAGGCAGTGGCGGAGGAACACAGAGTGGCGGAGTTTGAAATATTACTCTTTCTGGGTCACAAAATAAACTTTTAAGATATTTTCATGCGAAAATGGTGCTGTGTAACCTTCAAAGATCTGCTTGATTCATCAAGACATCACATATTTGCATAAGTGCTCTAACGTTTTCAGAGATGCCTGTTACCCACCAGCTGACCGCATTTGCCCGGTGGGCCGATGGTGATTTTTCATTTTTATGTTTGTTTGTTTGTCTTTGTTTGTCTTTGTAACAGTATAAACAATGAAAGGTGGTGGATTAGCCAGTTGGTCATGATCAACTCTGGGCTGGACCAATTACAATACATCCGTATTGAGGGGAAAAGGAATCCCGGACTTCAGGTACAATGAAAAAGACACAAGCTGCCCCTTCTTCTCTCATTCTCTCCCCACCCTCTCCTGTTGCTACTTCAATCATGAAACTGATCAATGATCAGCTGATCGTCTCTCTTGTTTGTTTATCGCCCACTTTGCGCCAGAAAGAGTAAATCAGCAGGTGTCGCGCTAAACAACAGCAGCACGTTCAAGCTTGATAAGCTGTTGTTAGAATTTATTCAATATTACTTGGAGACCAAAACAGCCAATCAGATTTTTTTTGCATCCAAGTCTGTGATCGGATGGTTTTGTGGCACAAATATAACGGTGTACAGAAAGAGTTGAGCGCGCACGGGCAGAAATGTTGAGAGCGCGAGCAACACAATGCGAGCGAGCGCAAGTGCAAAAACTGAGCGAGAGGGGCTGCTATTGTGTGTGTGTGTGTGGATAATAGCAAACACTGAAATACATTTTTTGCACGCAGCAATAAATTTTGTTCACTCAAATTTGGCTTTTTTTTTTGCTCAAAATAAAGTTCTCCTCAAAATGCAACACTTGCACCTGCAATTTTTTTATGTGCGCTCAGAATAGTGGCACCAAAATAACGGCATAGAATTGTGCGTGTTTATTTTTCACTTGCAGAGACAGATCACAAAGTGGCAAAGTGTGTGTGTCTGTGTGTGTGTGCAGAAAGGTCTAAGAGGTTCGGATTGTGTGGTGAGCGGTGAGACCAGAAAAATAAAGGATTTCTCCACAGTGAAAGACCAATCAAAACATACAGCTTGAAATATATGAAAGAAAAAAATGAGAAAAAACAGACATAAAAGAAAATAAAAGGTTCTGTGAGGACAGGGATTGATTCTGAATTCTTTGAAAGCAAACAAAAGCTGTGAAGTAATAACATGGGGCAGAAACCCCCCCCAAAAAAACAATCAAAGTTGCCCTGAGAGAGACAGCGGGAGGAGGGAAGAAGAGTTCATAAGAGTCCAGGTTGGTACCTTGGTTGTCTAGTGTGTTATGAGCCAAGTTGAGAGAGTGAATCACAGAGGCTGGGTTCTCTGATAACGCAGATGCCATCTTCTGTGGAAAATCCCTGTGGACAACATTAAAAAGAAAAGTTTTATTTCTGCAAAATTGAAAATTCAATACCGATCTCAGATACTGACGAAACAAATCTCCTGTCTTACCTCAAAGCACTTTACAATGATTCCAGTGTTTTGCTTAAACGTACCAATTAATTGATAAAGGTACTTTAGATTTTTTTAAATTAAGCTAGCATTGCTTTTGCACATGCTTCAAAAAATGTAATGTAATTAAATCAGGTAAACTTTCTAATATTTCAAATTCATCACATTTCAGGCCATTTTTGTTTTCATTTTGACAATTGGGTCTCATAGTTAATCAAATTCAGAAGTCCAGCATCTCAAATTATTAGAATATGTCATTTCAAGCTTAAGTAAAATATGGTTCAAAACATATAAACATGCATCTTTTGGTTTAGCTCAGCACACTTAGCTGCAATCATGGGGAAGACTGCTGACTTGATAGTTTTCCAGATCATCAACATCCTTCAGGAGAGTAGGCCATGGAAGCTCAATGCTGAAAAGGCTGTCTGTGTGCAGAGGTCTGTGTCGAACAGTATGCATGGGAAGTTGACTGGGAGGGAAAAGTGTGGCAGGAAAAAGTGCACAAACAGTCTTGAGAGAACTGTCAAGAAAAGGCGAGAACACAGGAGAGCTGTGCTGCAAGTGAACTGCGGCTGCTGTCAGAGCATCAAAAGTCACCGCCCACAGACGTCTTTAAGAAAGGAGCTACAAATCTGTCGTAGTCCTCATATCGTTTCACTCCTGAACCAGAGGCAATGTCAGAAGCATCTTACCTGGGATAAGGAGAAAAACTCTGCTCGTGCTCAGTGATCCAAAGTCTTCTCTTCAGATGAAAAAAAGGTTTCATTTCTATTGAAAATTAATTTTCTAGAGTTTTGAGAAAGAGGAAGAGTGGAGAGCCACAAGTTTGTAAAGTCTGACAATATGGAGGTTCCACGTCATCTGCTGGAGTTGCTGAAGATTGGTTCACTGGTCTACCAAAAGCCTTCAGGACACTTTATGCTTCCATCCAGCATCTCCATCAGCTTTATGGAGATGCTGATTTCCTTTTCCAGCAGGACTGGACAGTACCTGCCTGACCACAGTGCCATAACTACTACCAAATGATTTGCTGACTGTGATACTGCTGTGCTCGATTGGCCAGACAACCCTCCTGACCTAAATCCCACAGGGAATCTATTGGGGTATTATTAAGAAGAAGATGAGAAGCACCGGCAATCAAAGCAAGCTGGTCTTCAATAACGCCTCAGCAGTGGCACAAGCTGATGGCCTCCATGTCGCACAGAACTGATGCAGTAATTGCTGGTAAAAGAGCCCCAATCACACATCAAGCTGGACATTTCTGTATTTAAATCTTCTTTTATAACAAATATTGTTATAATATGTGATACTGGATTTCTTATATTCATAAATATTGAGCTCAAAATTAAAACAAAAATGCTTGAAATAGTCAGTTTACATCTAAAGATTATGGAATTTATATGAGTTGATCTTTTAAAAAAAACAGAAATTTCCAAGAAAATTTCAAGATTTTCTATTTTTGAGATGCACTAGTACAACTTATTCTGTCTTTTAGCCAATTGGCAGTTTATTCTCAGCTGACCAAGGCTAGTTTGAACAAAACTCTGATGAACAGATTACAGCCAAGCAAAGTTAGCTAGTAAACTTGCTCCATCTAACTTGTAAAGAGTCAAACATTTCCCTCTGGAGAGAAACAAGGACTGTGAATAATTGACTTACTTTTGTCTGTTGGCTACAAACACCACTCAGAATGAAAGCTAATGTATATCAATGTCCACTGCTTCCCAACACTTCTGCACATATTGCTCATCCACAGAACAATATG